AAACAGTGGAATTTAGTATTAAAAAAACTTCAGCTTTATTATACTGAAAAGGATTTTAAAATTGTGTTCATGGCCAAATAAGATGTATTAGATCAATATAAAAGATTGATACCTATATATCAGTTATCCTTTCTTGCAGTTTTTCGTGTAATGGATATGGTGGGTCTGAAATGCAATAAAAGTTTAAAATAATAGAAATGAATTTTATCATTTATAAACCTGTAAGCTTAAAAGTATTACATTGGTTGTGGTCTTTCTTTTTTTAATATTAATGAAATGTGATATTCGTGTTTATCTAGGAAGGAGCAGTATTGGTATTTTTACCTGGCTGGGAACATATTAGTAAGCTTCACAAGATTATCAATGATGACTCTATGTTCAACTCATGTGAGTTCTTTAATTTTCCAACATAATGTATGAATCTTTTTTTTGCATGTGTGTCATTGAAGTAAGTTAATATTTTGTGAACCATGTTTTTGCAGTTTAACTATATGGGGCTGGTCAATGTGACCGACCTTGTAACCATGGAATAGCCATCAAAGTTTTCATACTATAACGTTTTATAGGGAATATGCTTCTTCCCAAAATTTGGCAACTTTTCAGTAAACATTACAAATCAGGTTTTTTAGTTAAGTTTTCTTACTAAAAATTTGTCTGCAAATATATGAAATCAAAGTGTTGTCTGCTTCAAGTGCAAAGTGATTTTCATGTTAAGATTAAAAATACTTTCTTTATCAGAAAATTTTCGAATTTCATTTGCGTAATCTCTAAAAACTTCTTAAATAAATATCAAACGTTTTTATTCAGTAAAATGTTATATTCTATCTTATTTTCTTTACCTAATTCTATGTAGACACGGTCAATTTGACAGATCTTGTAACTACCATAAAAAAAAAGTACAAAATAAATCAAAATAATTTTTTTTTTTTTCACTTTCTAGAATGACTGCAGATTGTAAGGGAAAATTACAGTTGTTTATCCTAAATATCATGAGGCTCATAACAGTCTACATCTGTTTCTATTTAATTATATTGTTTTATTGCCCTTTGAGCTGTGTCTAACTAGCAATCCTGTCATACAAGTTATAAGTTTCTCAGCAAAAGTATTGCTTTTGTTACAGTACTCAATGACGTAACACACAAGCTGCTCGAGAGTGTACGTGATGAAAATTTAATCCCTGGATGAAAATAACTTAACCCTATCTCATAAAATTCAAAAATTAATTGTTTATCTAAAATATGTAATGTTTTGTGAACAAAATGAAGGGAGTAATTATAATTGGGCCAGTAGAATAATTGAAAAAAAATAATGTTTTGAGTCTTGATTTGTATAATAATCTTTTCATTCATTTAGCGAGGTACTTGATTATTCCTCTCCACTCCCTTATGCCTACTGTTAATCAAAAAGCAGTTTTCAACAGACCTCCACCTGGTGTTAGAAAGATAATTTTGGCTACAAACATTGCTGAAACTAGGTGAGTAAATCTGTTTATTAAATTAAAAATAATTTATAATATAAATGTTATTTTTATTAACCTTAAAAAAAGGTTCAGAAAAATTAACTCTATAAATTTATTGATGGGAATCCATTAGGTTTTTTTATAGTAAGAGTGTTTTATAGGAAGTTTGATATAAATCTTAAGTTGTTTTTATATAGAATGATATGTTAATCGTAAGATGTTTCTTATATTTCAAGACAATCTGATTAAACCAATCTCAAAATTGCATCTGCAAAAGTGGCATATAGTTTGCTATTCATCATTGCTTTAATTCCTTTATGTGGTCTTCACTTAAATAATTATATATGTCTGACTGACTTGCTGTTACTTTGAATTAGCCAACCAATCCTATGTTGGTTCCTAATTGAACTGTAGACTTGTGTATCACTAGCATTGACTTTCTTGGTTAAACAACGTATCATGGAGTACATCCTCCTGAGATTCAGAAAATTATAGTTTAAAATCATGACACAACAGTTATGTCATATAGTTATTTTTTTATACTACCTTTTTTTAGTGGATGTCCTCTAATATAGAACAGTTTTCAGTGAACTATTACTGTGGGTTTTATGTCAGAGGTCTTTAGTGGACCTGATGCCTTGTACCACCACATATTTGTAAACAGCATTTGCTCTCTTTAAATATGTCAAAATTGTTTAAAATCCACAAAATACTTACTGAATATCTTCTATTTTTTACAGGTCTTTTCTGTAATTATTCTTTCACTTTCAATAATTATCCATTATTCCATTTTGTCTGTAATTCTAATTTTTTCTACGCCATAAGTCAATTTCATATTTAGAACATTCCTTTTTAAAACCGACCTGTAAGAAGGGGAAATATCCATGATGTCAGTAGTGACTAGAATAGATACCCACATTTTAAGTAGAAGGGTCTACCGTAGGTACCCCTGATGTGAGGAGGGTCTACCGTAGGTACCCCTGATGTGAGGAGGGTCTACCGTAGGTACCCCTGATGTGAGGAGGGTCTACCGTAGGTACTCATAATGTGAATCACAGAATCTGTGAAGATATTCTGAAGTGGATCAAAGAGTTGTCTAATAACTATTTCAACAGCCACATATTCTATTTTACAGTCAAATCACAGAATCTGTGAAGATATTCTGAAGTGGATCAAAGAGTTGTCTGATAACTATTTCAACAGCTTCCTACTATACACTACTTGCTACGTGTCTCAAACAACATACCTTCCAGCTCTACCTTTACGTTGTCGAGCATTAGCTAAGGCAACCCACTCAGGTTTGAGGGTGGCAATATTATTCTCAACATCAAAGTTACTAATCTTGATTTTTCCACTGTCTATCACAAACACTATATCATCAATAGTTATGCTACAAGGAAAAGGAAAAGTTTGAAATAAGTACACTTGAATTTGTGGAAGCACTTGAATTAAGAACAAAATATAAAACACGCACACAAGATAAATAAAACAATTGTAGAAGGATACATAAAAACAAGAAAACTTTGTTTGCTGGAGTTAGTTTTAGCAATATTCAGTGTTCAGTTATTCTGCAGTTGTTCTAGTCTACATGATATTTTGTTTCACTAAGATATTTGGCAACAGTTGAAGCTGTGCTTCTCTCGAGATGGCCAAGCCATCCTTGCATACAGACAAATCACAGAATCTGTGAAGATATTCTGAAGTGGATCAATAAGTTGTCTAATAACTATTTCAACAGCCACATATTCTATTTTACAGTCGAAACTGGAGAATCTGAATGATTTAGGAAGCCCTCTGTATCAGAAAGAAACAACAAAAAACAAAGGTTTCTTATCAGACTTATTACAAACTAACAACCTGTGGATACCAGTAGTTTATTATCAAAAAAATACCTTGTGAGTAATACTCACACTGACAAGATTGATAGTACGGCTACACCATTCAGCTTGTATTAACATTTACACACGCAAGAACCTTAGATTTGACAGAGATCAAAGTGGGTCAAAACCTTGTCTAATCACCATTCTTTCAAGCAAGTGGTTCATTTTAATGATTTTTGTAAGCTGTATGTCCAGTGTTGTTTTCAGTCTTACAGGTATTGTAATTATCTTATTAAAAAAAAAGAAGTAGATGCAGAAAAGTATGTTTTTTTAACAGACCTTTTGTAAGTTAAGCTGACAATAATATACAGTAATTACTGTACTTTAATACTAAATTTGAAAGTACGGAATATTAACCCCATAGCTTTCGGTACTGCGTATGGTACTGCATTACTTTCAAAATTTAATTAAACCACTTTACTGTCAATATACTTCAAGGAAAGTAACATTATAATGTATGTTATGATTTGAATTTTTATGGTATCTAAGTTTTAATTACTTTGTTACAAAAAATACTTAAACTGCAGTTTTCGTGTCACGTGCTATCTTATGCATCAAAGGGCCACATAGACCTACACTGCCATCTGGACACTCATCTACATTGTGGCTAAGAGTGAACTGCTTCAACAGTCGAGATTTTTAGTGGCACGTATTTAAAGTCTCACAACTGTATTCACTGGAAAAGAGAAATAGATGTCCCAACTTTTGATGCGTGCCATGCCCACTTTCTATACACTGCCTTGAAATCTACAACGTACGTGTAGTTAGTTGACACAAGTGTATATATTCATTAGAAAGAGCTCAGTTTACACTATACTGCACCAATAGTTAATTTGAAATTGGCGTGCAGTTTTTGGATTGAAGTAGATGTATATATATGTTGTCTGCTTGATCGACACTATAGCACCTTACCTAGATTGACAGTTAAATTGTACTTAAGCCTTACTTTTACATTTTAGTTAATTATATATTATTTATGTTTTAAAAATCATACTTGAAAGGTTTAATGATTTTTATAAGTTAAACTTGTTGTCACTTGGATTGTGAAAATGTATAGACAAGATGGTATCATTCGCATGTGCAAAGCATTAGTTGAAGCGAGTTTCTTTACGGGAGTTGCCGTATAATAATAATAATAATAATAATAAAATCCCAGCGGGCACCAGTTGATTGATGTATCAACATAAATAATAAAGGAAAAGAACTGGAAAGGAAAATTAAAAATAAACTATAAGTGAAAAGATAAAGACGTGAAATTATGCAGATTAAAAAAACAAGTTCCAAAAGACTTCTATAGAGAGCTAAAAGATATTTACATATATATATTTCTTAATTTTAAACATTTCATTGCATTGTATGTTGATGATAACTAGGGTTAGTTAATTAGAACAAGTGAGAGTAAGTAAAAGGATCATTTTTGATTACCTAACAGGATTACCTAACAAGTAGATTTCAAAATAATACTTTGCCTGAAAAGTGATTGTTATAGTTTTATATTTATTGAAAACAAAAACTATTTATGAAGAAATATTAATATCAAAATGTGACACTAAACAACTGGAGCCTATTTCTTTTAGGTCTTCAAATTATCAAACCATATCTTACTTTATTTATTATAATATAACTTATGAACATTTTTTTATTATTATGATTTGACGCACTGTTAATAAGCCATGGTTTGAATTTATTTTTATAGAGTGAAAAAAATGTCACATATAGTTCAGGGTTATGATTCATTCCTATAATACTGGTAGATTGTTACTTTTAAGAGTAAAAATCTGTTTTTCATAATGTCATTTCTTTTACTATTATAGACTACAAGATATAATAACCTGCTTTTCAAATAATATTCGGTACAGGTTTAAATTTTGTCTCTTTTTGAAATAGTATAGATGGTAGAATATTGTTAACATATAGCATAAGAATATAGAATTTCTCAACTAGGGTTCAAGAAGGAATATGTTACCATCTATACTCCAAGCTTACGGAATCACAGCTGCAAAACTATCAACTTCCTGAGATTTTGAGAACAAGACTGGAAACTTTATGTTTGAGAATAAAGGTGAGTAGTATTTGTTCTAGTGATACACAGTGTCTAAGGAGTTCAACACAAGACTTTTAGAAGACTACAGTGAAATGCACTCCTAAGAAAAAAAACAGACTACTTGACATTAAAAGATTCTGGTCATGGCTTGAGATTTTCCCCTCCTTATCTATTCTATGATATCCTTAGGTTCACTGATTTCCCTTTAAGTAATTGGGTAGGATCTGCAGTAGGAGGTTTGACGGAAATTTATTATGGGTTTGAGTACTCTTGCATTTGACAGAGTTGTGAGAAAGAGACTGAAAACAATTTAAACAGTCTTTGTTCAACACTTAAACTCTATAAACATTTACAAATGCATGAGATTAAAGACTATAAGAGACTTATGAAGAACTAGTTAACTTGTTCAACTTAGGAGAGAATTTTATTAGATAAACAAGGAACTTAAATTTTGCTTGCCAAACTGAGGGCTTAAGCTTGAGAAAAAGAACTGACTGAGAGAGTATATACAAATAACTATAATGCTGTCCTTCCCATTGTGCCTGTGTTACCCACATCACTGATGTTCATTTCCATTGAAAATTAATGGAAGATGTAACCTCATGGTATCACTCAACCTGCTAGTTGAAAATATCACTGTCTTCCTTTACATGGTGTATTGGATGTGAGGAGGGGCTACCATAGATCAGCAGTCTTTCTCATGAGAAAGCATGTGTGATACCATAAGGGAATGACTTAAACAATAGGTAACCAGGGCAAAAGGAATTTAGCCATTTCATTGACCAAGTTACTACATTAAAATCCTACATGTGTTTACTTGTTCACTTTACCAAATAAAGGTTGTATAAAATACTTAGTGTTCCTGCATATGAAAATATTAAAATTAACTGCCCAAATATTGCCTGTTGTTTGGTTTACTGGACATAGAATTGAAGGGTTTGTTGCTCATGCAGCTAAAATGCATTTTTCATTTTTGGGCCATGGGTGTGTTACGACTGATGATGAAATTCCACTGTTCAAATAGAGTAGCCCAACAGTTGGTTAGCTGCCTTCTCTGTAATTTATCAGTTAAAAATTAAGGAAAGCACAAATAACCAACATGAAATCAATCAAAACTAACTTGTTACATATTTTAAACTTCATGTCATAATAACAATTCAAACTATTTCAACAGTTTGTAACTGAAAATTTTGGAATTGATATTTTTCCATTTTGTTACATTTATTCAGAGTAATTTGCAAAGAAAAATTAAAAAAAATTTGAACTATCATTTCTGTACAACTCCAAGAAGTCTGCCCTGTAAATAACACATTTTAAAAATTATTTAGAAGTTTTATTTACATCCTAAAGTGTAGGGATACATTTGCTAAGAAACGATATTTTCTTGAAAATTCAATGATTCATATCTTGTTTCTTATGTAGTTTTCCTTCTCTGAAAGTAGTTTTATTACTACAACCCTTTGTCACCCTTTTATGATGTCACAGTATGTGGTCTTAACAACTACTAATGACACCCAGCTTTAAAAAGTGGTTGTGGGCAATATTCAAATACATTTGGACAAAGAATATTATAAACTTTTCATGTCAATGTAGAGTAAGTAAAGAGACAGTAATTTATGGTTTCTCAAGACAGTGACGAACCTGCGAATATGAAATGAGGAATCTAATAAGAAATTTAAAACACTTGGGAACAAACCAGAAATATGGGACTTTTTCTATAGTTTCTTTAGATACTCTTTTTCATTCCCAAAAATGTGTTGAATTAGATCTATCTGAAAGCTACAGAATTTTTTTTTTTATATAAAAAGATATTACTTATATCTAGTTGGATTTAGTGAGTACGTTTGGAGATGACAAAAGTTTCTCATGACTCAAAACCATATAAATAAAAGGATAAAAGAACTTTATAGTTATTGAAAAGAAATTGTTTTTATGATATATAAATTGAACTTGATCAAGTAAATTGTTAAGAAAAATCCAATGCACCATATTCAAAGGTGAAGTACTAGATAAGAAATAGATTTTTTTTTTGAGTTTTTGACATATTTTATGTGATTTTTAACCAGAAGTGGTGACTAAAGCATTTGGAAAAATAAAATATCAAAAGAAATATGTTAATAGATATGAAATAAGTTGAAACTGATTCAATATATGAAATGAAACCTTCTGATCAACAAAATTTAAAAAATTAAATTCTAATACAAAAGGAAATTTTTTTGTTATAAACGGTATCTTCTAACAAAATTTTTGAATTTCACAATGTAAAAAAAAAATTATAGAAATTACTAATTAACGTTATACAGTTTTTTTCTTAAGCTTGAATAAAAAACTATTTAGTAAGGTTGTACTAAGATTCTTGCAATTTATTGAAGTATTTTCACTATGAGAAGGGAAAAAAAGTCAAGGTTATGCTCCTGGTTATGGCCCCTTCACAGTAGTTACACATTGTTAGGATAAATGTTAGAGACAGTCTGAAATTGTGTAATATGAACGTATGAACAGGCTGAAAGTTTGTTGTTAGTTATTTCTGGTTAGTTTACTTGTTCTCCTAAAAATTAAGTTAAGGTTTCATGCAACTTTATTTATGGAGATTTGACAAACAGCTGTATGATGAGTACTTAATAGTTTGATGTGGCAGTAGAAACTCTGCTAATTTGAAAGATAATGTCTATTTGAAGTGACTAGTGGAAAAATAACCTTAGTTGAGATGCAGAATATTAAAGTTGCACAATGTATGTATGTATCATTGTCCTTTGGTCTAGTGGTATAATAACATGTGAAGTAAATTCTCACATTACCCTATTTATGTTTACAGTTTCTTAGGAAAATGTAGGTTTTATTATTAAAGATATCTTGTATTTTTGTACCAACCTATGATATATTAAGTACTAGAAAGTAATAATATCATACATGTTATGTGTTATTCTCTTCTGTTCATGTTTTACAGATACTAAAATTAGGAAAAATTGAAGTATTCTTGAATAAAGCAATGCAGCCTCCTGATCCAAAAGCTTTGGAACTGTCTATTAATTTACTAGAAAAACTGGTAAGTCTGTTTGTGATCACTGTTGTATTTCTTCACACTTTATGAATCAATGTATTGTAATTTGTCTACACGTAACATTTTTAAACCAGTTTGTTGTATATTCCAGCCAATGTTTTGTAAGCCATTAAACAAACACTATGTAGACTTGTTTAAAAATTATATTCTAAGGATTATATTTTAAACAGGGGGGCAAGCATGCATAAGAGGCTTTGGAAGGCTTAGCCTCCCCAGCTGGGTGAAGGAGAGAGCCCCCCGATCACCTGTTGTGGACAAACCAACAGCTTACCCAAATTAAATGGCCCTTACAGAGCATTATTCTCACCAACTCGAAAATATTACTTACTATATGTGACAGAATAGCCTACCGAAGCAAGAGCTCAAGCACTGCCGTCTGATTTACCTGCAACAATTTGAGTTGGCAATATGTTGAATGACTTTCAGTATCACTTTCTGTGTAGACCATCAAGCACGTTATCATGAAAGAAATTATGTCTATGCCCCATCAGCTCTAGTTGTTCAGTATACAGCTTGATTTACATTTCAGATATCAATAAAGTTTGAACCTAAAAGTTTGGTAAAAAAAAAACAACCTTTAAGCTTGAAGAAATTTGGTAGTGAGTAAGTAGATACTGTCAGTATTAGCTGTATCATTGAAATATTGTTTTTGGAAGTTGATAGAGGAACAGTTAAAAGAGAGGTTGGCAATGTTGTTGTTATTAAAATATTTTATCACATTTGTTACTATAAAAAGGTCAGTGGTTTGCCACCTTTGGTTTTATTCATCATACAACCTGTTTATCTCTTAAATACTTCATATAAAATAGCAGTTTAATAAATAACTCCAAAATGTTAAGAGTTACTCTCAAACATGCTGCTTAGAAACAAATGGTTATGTATTACAGAATGCCTTAGATGAAAAAGAGAATCTCACACCACTGGGATTCCATCTAGCTCAGCTTCCTCTGGACCCTCACACGGGAAAGATGATTCTGATGGGAGCTATCTTCTCTTGTCTTGATCCCATTCTTACTGTTGCTGCCAGCCTTAGCTTTAAAGATGCATTTGTTATACCCCTGGTGAGATTTTATTGACAGTTTGTACAATAAAAACACAAAATTATAGGTTATTCTGACAAATATTCCTTTTAAGTTTATCGTGAGTGATTAATACACAAATAAAAGTATATTTATGAAAGTTAGTTGATACCAAAAAACGAACTTAAACATTAATAAGTTTTTTTTGTTAAGCATGTGTTTAATTACCTTAGAAATATTATTAAATGAGGTTAAAAATGTACTCTGTTATTTTTTCAAATGCAAGCTTAATTAAGTGTGGTATAATGAAGTGGTATTTCTTGCTCCTGATAGAGCCCATGTTATGTTTTTTTTCCTTTATTCACGCTAATCATTTTATATTTTAAACATAGAGTGTACAGAATGAACTATATACTCTATTAAAACAAAAAGGTTACATTAAATTGAAGCAAATGGCCAATAAATTTGAAAGCTCGGTTATATTAGTCTCTTTATTCTTCTTATATAGAAGTTTTCTAAGATAATTTTTGTTCTGATTTCCTACAAAACCTGCCTCAAATGTTGATGTTAAGTGATTTCCAACCTTGTTATCATGTAAGGAAATTATCAGTAATTATAAAGTATCTTGATGAAATTATCTAAACGTATATTTTGTTAATTTTTTTAAGGTTTTAAAGTAGTGAGATTTGTATGTTTTTATTCAGGGAAAAGAAGAACAAGCTGACCAGAAACGTAAACAAATAGCACGAAACTCAAAAAGTGACCATCTCATGCTTGTGCAGGCCTTTCAATGTGAGTTTATACGCATGGTTTACACTACAATTAATGATCTAAGGTTGTGCATTTAAAGGCATCCCTATGCTCATGTGCTTTATTTTAAGTGTTAAAGTTTTTCTTGAGAAGGGGAGATTGAGATAAGGTGAGATTTGTACATATAATTCTGATGCTTTAGCCAACAAAGTTACTTGTATTTCCTTTCATTGGTTATTAAGGACATACTTTGTCTGGAGATGAAGACCATGGTTAACGGTTTTCAAGGTAGTTGGTTAAAAACATATTCTTGGTTAACAAAGACTGGAGCTGGAATTCGGAACAATTTTAATTTTCACTTTTAAAAAAAAAAATCCTTCTTACTTGAAAGTATACTGCCCTTAAAGTTGACTTGTTACACTTGGCACTTTTAAAAATAACAACAACAAAGAAATGGCATGACTCATTCTGAACTTTACAAGATTATTGGCATATCTCAACAGTTTTGTCAAATTCTGTCTTTAATAACCAATCAATGAAGTAAAAACTAAGGCACATAACATTCTAGACCTAGCAGCTTGGTTATTTTAAGTACCTATCTGGTAATCAGTTAAAATTCATAAGTTCAAATTATCTCTGATCTCAATTTTCACTTGCTCAGAAAACTTTAATTTGTAGTAATACATTTTAGGGTAGAAAAGTAACTGAAGCATTTGGAAAGCTTCATATTGGAACTCCAGGAAATATTCACTTAATGTAAACTCTGGTAATCACTGATTTATAAGCCTAATTCACTAAAATGCTAATCAGCTCTTTCTTAAAATTAGAAGGTATAAAGCTGTTAAATGTTTAATATTTAAATACAGAAATGATAATCAAGAGTTTACTTATTTGCACTGTAAGCTTTATGCTTGACTACTTCCAGTTGAAGATATTAATAAAACCTGTTTGCTCTTTAAGCTGTGGAGGCATTATCATGTGATGATCAATCTCACTATTCACTGGTAGAGTAACCCGAGAGCTGGAGGCCTATCGGCGCTAGCCATCCATAGTTCTCAAGTGATAGACTACAGGGAAGGCAGCTAGTCAATGCTACTGACAGCCAGCTCTCAGTTACTCTACCAGTGAATAGTGAGATTGATCATCACATGATAATGCCTCCATAGTCAATGCTACTGACAGTCAGCTCTCAGTTACTCTACCAGTGAATAGTGAGATTGATCATCACATGATAATGCCTCCATAGTCAATGCTACTGACAGCAGACTTATTAAACGTCAAGCTCTAGCTATGGATGCTTTTGGGACAACAGTAACACGATAAAGTTCTGGGATTGTAGTAATAGACTTATTAAACATCAAGCTCTAGCTATGGATGCTTTTGGGACAACAGTAACACGATAAAGTTCTGGGATTGAAGCGTTTTTTTGTTTGGTGAATTTCATTCAAACCTACTCATTACTACAATCCCAGAACTTTATCGTGTTACTGTTGTCCCAAAAGCATCCATAGCTAGAGCTTGATGTTTAATAAGTCTATTATTACAATCCCAGAACTTTATCGTGTTACTGTTGTCCCAAAAGCATCCATAGCTAGAGCTTGATGTTTAATAAGTCTGTTACTTCAGAACTATGGATGGCTAGCGCCGATAGGCCTCGAGTAGGTTTGAATGAAATTCACCAAACAAAAAAAACGCTTCAATCCCAGAACTTTATCATGTTACTGTTGTCCCAAAAGCATCCATAGCTAGAGCTTGACGTTTAATAAGTCTGTTACTACAATCCCAGAACTTTATCGTGTTACTGTTGTCCCAAAAATATCCATAACTAGAGCTTGACGTTTAATAAGTCTATTACTAAATATTTTGGTAAAGGATTATTAGGAATAATTTAATGTTATGATTTGAGTTATGATAAACAAAAGTGAGTGTATTGATGTGAGTGTAAACAAAAGTAGCTAAACAAAAGTGAGTGTATTGATG